ATGACAGATGCTCCAAGTCCTTAATAATGTTTGGGACCTTTTGGTAAGTTCCAGAATGTCTTGTATTGGTGAGCCTAGAACTAGATTGTTCACTTGAGATATCTCTTATCAGCACTGAGTGAGGGGGAATGATTATCTCCCTTCACCTGCCAGAAATCATCTGCTTTAATGAAGCCCATGCTGTCACTGTCTCTGTCCAACTTGTTCCTCAGGACTCCTAGGGTTTTTTTCTGTAAAGCTGCTTTCCAGTTAGTTAGCCATCTGCAGGTACTGGTGCCTATGATTATTCTTCTACTAGATGCAGAACTTTGAATTTCTCTCTGTTGAACTTGATGAGATTTCTGTCAGCTCAGTTCTCCAGCCTTTTGTGCCTCTGAATGGCAATACAAGTCTTCTGTATCAACAGCTTCCACTTTTGAACCATCTACAGACTTCCTGAGCATGAATCCTGTCCCCTTATCCACTGAATGCAAGTCATCCTTGCTCCAGAATTCCTTGCTGTTTGCAGAGGCCTGTGATGGTTGTGAGGGTTGGTGTTATGAGTACGGACTGAGGGAAAAAAGGTAATGAGCACCTTGGCCTTTTTTCTATGCTTTTGTCTACAAGTCTTCTGTCCCACCTGGGAGCAGCAGTCCCCCATTTTGCAGGAAGTCTATATTTTCCTCAGTCTTTTTTTTGCTGCCAAGGTTCATGTAGAAGCTCTTCTTATTCCTTCATATTCGTTGCTGGATTCAACTCCAAGTGGACTTTGGCTTTTGTAACTGTGTTTCTACATGCTTGGAGAGTGTGTCTATCTTCCTCCCAGGTCACCTGTCCTTGCCTCCACTTGTACACCTCCTTGTTAAATAAAGAATTTTATCAGGTATCTTCATCACCTGATGATAAAGACTCTGATACAACTCCATAACTGTATGTTAAAAGGACAATGCACTCTTACAATCCTGAAACCATCTCTTGGAAGACTGATTTATTACATATAACTTTAAATGTAATAACAAGTATATATTACATACTCCCTAAAAGTTTAATTCACTTTATTTGATTATTTTTCTGAGCTCTTTTATTAGCTACTGTTTATTTACTCTCAAGTTGTTCAGAGCTCATGGAACAGCTAATAGAAATCTCAAAATTGCTCTTGGCATCTTCATATCAAAATGGACGGTTGCCAGCACAGTAACAGAACAGAGCATTTCTCTTTACAAATATGCTGCCATTGAAACTAATGAAAATCTTGATGCTAAGTAGTCTCACTAATCTTTAAAATTATTTTAGGCAAGACACACTTTCTTAAATAATTTAAAGAATAAAAAGCTTAGTATGAGGTGACTCATACTGGCTCTTTAAATCAAGCTGATAAAAACCGTAACTAAAAGAGATGAAAAAGTAGGTTTGAGATCTATGGAGGTATCCTGCATCTTTGGCTATTCTCTGCCATTTCTGCCTTGATGTTGTTCTAGGAAAAAATAGCTAATAACCAAAAGGAAGCAAGTATTGTACTAATATAGAGAGAAGATGACCTCAGAGTGGCCTCTTATATTCCTGTTCAGGCATCTTGTAAGGTGAAAACAGTAAGCAGAGGTACAGTTCCCTTTTACGGCTCTGCTGTCACTGCAAATATCAACATATATATGTGTGTATGTGTATTTGTGTATGTGTGTATATATATATATTTCTATTACTTAGCTTTCTTGCAGATCACTATCCATCTACATAAATATCGTCTTAAATCTGGCTTGCCTGAATTGCATATTCTTCTTCAAAAAAGGTAACACCACATAGAATGTGTTTTTAACCTCACTAAAAATAACATTCTGCATAAGGCACATTTGATGGATTATGTCATAACATTAAAGGAAGTGAGTACTTTGGTACCATTACTTCCTCTACCTGATGCTGTTAGCTATTTTCCTAAAATCAAATTTCTTATTCTTATTCTGCTACAGCTAATTATTGTTGTATTGTTGTATCCAATACCATTTATTAGACCGTATAAAGAAGGTTTGAGGAAAGAAACTGGTCTAAATGCCATGTGTCTCAACTTAGGTCATGGTCAGAATGAAACTGTCTTGTTTTTTTGATAGAGACAAGGGAACACAAATGTACCAAAGAGGCAGACAAACCACAGCTGAAAATTATATGAAATTGTGTATGTCATACTAGATGAGTGTAGAACAGTACCAAAAATAGAACAGATGTAGGAAACAAGGGGATACGTGTAATAGAAAAGTAATCTTATATTTCACACATACTTTCCAACAATGGGGTTGCTCACAGAAAGATCCCTTCATGCTGCTGGTTACTATGGTGACAAGGACAGTTTACTTAGGACAGAAGTGATATACCATCTAGCCCATTACTCAAGGCAGTGGGATCCCATCGCATAAAACATTAGTTGAAGAAACCTGTGATTGAAGACACCCTTTGTAGCTTGGAGGTATCAAATATGGACTGAGTGGAGGTATTTCAGCTAATAATGAGCAGGTTATCTATGCATTTTATTTCAGCTTTTGATACTTTCAAATTCTATCATTAGTATCATCACCATAGAGAAATTAATTACTTTAAATAAGGCTTACTTAAGGCCACTATAATGAAGCATTTTGCAATTTATAATATAATTTTTAAAAAGTAAATGTGAAAAGCATCCATTCTAGTATATGAAACTTGATTTTATTTTCAGAACACTTATCTGTGTTTACAAGAATGTAAAGAGAGATGGACAAAGTTGCACAAAGACCTATTCTAAAATCAAAAACCCGAAGGTCTTACTGATTAGAGCTATAAATGGAAGGAACTAGGAAGGAGAATATGCACAGAACAATGCAACTTCAGGACTGTCAGACTGCTCAAGGTAACTGTGTGAATGTACAAAATCTAAGAATTGGGGAATTACCCAGGAATTTTTGAAGCCACGTTTGTACAGGCCTAAACAGCTACTAAGGACTTAGGCACTTAGGTATGGAATAAGAAGGATGTGTGAGCATGTGACTTTTATAATAAGTCGTAGAATCAGGGAAAAGTTTGGGTTGGAAGGCACCCTGAAAGATTATCTAGTCCAACCTCTCTGCAATGAGTAGGGACATCTGCAACTAGACCAGGTTTCTCAGAGCTCCATACAACATCATCTTGAATACTTCCAGGAATGGGGGATCTACCACCTCTCTGGGCAATCTGTTCCAGCGTTTCCCCAACCGCCTTGTAAAATACTTCTTTCTTATATCTAGTCTGAATCTACCCTCTTAGTTTAAAATCATCACCCCTTGTCTTGTTGCAGCAGCCAATGCTAAAAGGTTTGTGCCCATCTTTGTTATAGGCTCCATTTAAATACTGAAAGGCTGCAATAAGGTATCCCCAGAGCTCTCTCTTCTATAGGCTCAACAACCCCAGCTTTTCCAGCTTTCCTCATAAGAGATGTCTTCCATCCCTCTGATGATTTTTGTGACCCTCCTCTGGGCCTTCTCTAATCTCTCTATGTCTTTTATGTTCTGAGGGCTCCAGAGCTGGATGCAGCAATGCAGGTGAGGACACAAAAATATATATTAAAAAAATATAAACAAAAAAATGGTATTAGATTGATATATACCAGCAACATATCCACCTGAAAAATAAGGAAAACAAGCTTTACCCATTTTAATGTCCCTTCCACCCTTAACCATTAATGATTCTATAGAGGTATTCTAAGGAATGATACATTGAGACTTCAAGGCTCCTGTGTTGGGTTGATAAACAACTGGTGTAGATAGGTTAACTAGACACAAGAATATATTTTTTCAATATATGAGATATTTTTACACTTGAAAAATAATTTCCTAGAGTTTATCACAGAGATACATTTAGGAAACACTTCTTTCTGAGCATTTGGAAACCATCACTGTGTAGTATGCAGTAACAAATGGTGACCCTAAACAAATGGAGATCCCAAAAGCATTGAGACATAACAATTAGAAAGAAAGGAAATATGAAATTAGCATTGTCAATATTATTTTTTGTACAACATCTCACTGTATTTATTTCATCAGCACCGAGTATGAGAAAAGAGACAGGATTCAAGTTCTATGAGATATTTCTTCCTGTAAACTAGCCTACGGCAGTTTCTCTCTCTGTGTTAGCAGTTGGGCTAACAATACAGTAACAGCTTTAGAATAATCCCTGTCATCCTCAGAAACACCAACAACTTGTATAAACACAAGAGAAAGGATCTCAGACTTCTTACTTAACCAGTTGTAGGCAAGCAACAAGACACTGCACACAATTGTCTTGTGTATAGCAGACACATCATGCTGTCATTGGTAACAGCACCACTTAAGAAGAACAGCAGCAGCACTGGCACTATGCTTTGCCATAAAACCAGCCATTCCATTCACTAGTACACATTAAAAAAATAAATAAATAACAAATCAAATTAAGGCTACTGTCAATCTAAATTCAATAAAATATATACCTATTTAAAGTAATTATTGTGATTGAGAATGGGGTTCTTGACAGGTGGAACAGCTGCTCGTTTAAGTAATCAAATGGTATTCACTGACCTTAGCTTTAATAGTAAAGATGTAATTGTGGATTCTGCAGGATACAAACACAGCATGGTGCTATTGCATTTTTACTGACTTTAGCCAGAAGATTATCTCTCCATTCATCAAGTCACTATTTTTAAAACTAGACAGGTACAAAAACCTCACTGGCAAATATTCAACTGATGCTTTACACAAAACATAGAAAACAATGCAAAAATAAAATTTAACTGTTCAGCTTTTCAAAGTACATTATCTTCTGCTCATCTGACTGTAAAAATACTAGCTACTTATTTCATCCACATTTCTCTCCCCCTTATACCAGCTTTATGTCAGAATAATTTCACAGTCGTTGAGTTACTTTTGCTATAGAGATACCCCATCTGTATAAGAGAGTTATCTTTACTTATCTTTTATTGGTGGTAAAGAATTCAGGAAATTTTTAAGGCATTGTGTGCATAGGACAGTTCTTTAGGAGATTTCAGTTACCTGGGTAATACCTGGCAAGGCCAGTTGCACTACCAAAGACCTGCCATAATAAAGTGGGATCTTCTTCTCTGTTCCGCTTGAATACATCGTCCAGTGCCGCAGTCCAGTTGAGTTCATTTAACACAATTGTTGCTGTCAAAGAAAAAACATATTTAGCATTATAAAGTTACATCCTAAGACAAGCAGCAATGACTACAAAAAAACAAGCTAAATTACTGTAGGAAGTAAACATTCGATTTAACTAATAAAAACATTTTCTCTAACTTCCTCATGCTTTCTTCTTCTCATTGCATTATTTGCATGCAATGACTACTGCTTATTTTCATAGTCATTACCTGCTACAAATACTTTGTTTCTGACATGTCACTCTCGTTGCACTTCCCAGCTACAGAAAAGTAAATGCAAGCCTATAAAGTTGATGTTTCTACTAATCACAACACACTGCCTAAGAAAGACTATAATAACATTAACAAAAATAGGTGAGGCACTTAAGAAGGTAATGAAATTTTCCCTTTCCAAATGAATGCTGTAAGGGTATTATGGGGGAAAAAGATGGTGATGACCTATTTAATTGTAACATTGAGGTAGGATTGCATGCACAATAGTACTCATTATTACATGTTAACAAGATCTTAATGTTCATAGATGTGATCATTCACAGAAAGATCAGCAGTGTGAACATTAATATTTAGGAGTTGAGTCAGTAACATAACAAACTTAAAACACAAGGAAATTCACATTTCAGCTAAACACTATGTGGCTACCTATATAGAAACTTATATTTGCAAAGTTGTACTGTACCAATGCTTTTTTAATCAATCAAATACATTATATAATCAATCCAATATATAATATATCAACACGTTCCATGCCTTTTTCAAAAAAAGATGTGTTGGGAGACTTACTTTAAAATTGATGAACAATGCTACAGTAATAGTTACTTATCTATAGTCAGTAGTCAATGAAATTTTATTGTGATACAGAATACCTTATTATATAATTGATAATAAATAATGCTTTTAACTTCATTTAATCAGCTATAAATATCTCACTACTTTCACAAAAAAAAAAATCTTGATCATGTTAGGCAATAGCAGGTATTTCGTTAAATAGAAAGAGCAAGAGCTTTTTGTTGGTTTGGGCAGTAATTCTTTCTCCTGTGTTGCCTAAGGGCACTGTAAGTAATGTTTCTAAAACTGAAACACCTAGATTAGCATGCCAAGAGTGGAAAGGGAACTTAAGAGGAACAAAACGTGAAAATATCTGAAGATGTTGGTATAAATACTATGAAAGTTGACACTAACACAGATCCTGCTTACACAACAGTATTGCACGCAGAAAAGAAAATTTCCCTTATCTTGCAGATAGATAAGTCGAGTTGAAATAAAAATGATTCACAATTAAGGCACATGAGTGGCATCACAGTACAAAATCTGGTATGTAAGTCTACAATCTAACCTTCTACTACTAGGAAAAAAAAAGAAACAACACAAGGACAGACAGGATGAAAGTGAACATTTGACAGCCCATTTCTAAAGTGAGGTTGTTAACAGGCACTAGAGAAATGAGATCTCAACATTAAATTTTATAGGCTTGTTTTTAAAGGTTAAGGAGAAAATTGCTATACCATGTGTTCTGCAGAAAGGTTTATCTGTTTTTTCAAAGTAGCTTTAAGATAAAATTGCTCTTTCAAGATACAGCTTTTTACAGAAGTATCAAATGAAATTTCCAGCTCTTGAGATTATAAGCAATAAGCTTCTATTATATACCTGTCTCTTTGCCAAGTAGGTAATTGTAAATATATACACATATGTTTACTTAAGAAGAAAAATAATTTAGAATGGATCTGTACTTGTGTTAACCAATCCAGGTATCATTAAATAGGAAAAAGGTGCTGGGAATTCCAGCTTAGATAATTTATTTAAGAGTATATTACTCTTTCACTTCCATTGAAGAATACACACTGGACTTCAAAAGACAAGCTGCAAGTCAACCACATTTCTATGTTTTGGGGTTTTTTTAATGCAATAGCTCTAGTAATAGGCAATTTCAAACCAATACCTCTAGTTTCTGCCTACAGCAACGGATTTGGAAAATTGCCAACCAAAGAAAAGCAAGCAAAACCAGTCATAAACAGTATCAAAACTATTCTTCAAATGGTTACTACTAAAATACCGTGATTCTCAATTTGCATATAAAAAAACAATGCAGTGCTATGAGGCCATGGCACCTGTTAGAATACCCTAATTTAAGACAGATGGATTTATCTTGATCCCATGAATACATTGAGGATTTCATTTTTCTGTTATACAAAACATGCATTGTACTAAAATAAAATATTTAGAGTTTCAATAGCCACACCTGCTGAGATGCTGTATATTCTTGAAACACCTTTCCTTGTGAGTTAATTTCCCCACTGAAAAGAGTTTGTGACTGATAATATGAGGAAAATCTAGTTGTAGACAACTCTACAATAAGCTATTTCCAATTCTGCCAAAAGAAGTCTTTGAAGATTACTGCTTCAAAGTACTTCAACTGCTACTTTTCACTTGATATGGGCAGGATGAAAAAATAAAATTTATCGTTACATAATAAGGAACATCACTCTTCCTCGCTAATTCCACTGAACTCCATCCATCTTTTCCTTTTTTCCCCTTTTCTTTATGACATGAAGTTTTGGGGCCTTGACAAGGAATGGATTCAATTTTCCTCTGCAAATGCAATCACTGAAAAATAGAGAGTACTACTATGCTCTCTTTAAAAGACGTAGAATACACCTCAGATGATTTATTCAATGTATAGGCCCGGGCCTGCATACATGACAGAGTACAACTTTATTTGAAAACCCTGAGAGCTATTTACTTTATCTGAAAATATGTCAGCTGCTGCTCCCTGATGTGGCAGCTACATATACACTAGAGAGAACAGAAGGGAGCTCCTCAGCAGTTCATTAATCTTTTAGTGAGTGGAGAGTATTACACTTCCATATCCTGTTTAGTGAAGTTGATTCATTGCTTTCTTTAAAGATAGGATGGACTAGTTAATATTATGAATTAAATAATTATTTGCAATCAAATATTACACTATTTAAAAGTGGGCATAGAGGGACAATGTGTTTGCAAATGCATATTTTTGTATATGTGTGCAGACAGAGGCTCCCATCTGTATCCATGCTAAAGGATATTATAGAAATTCTACTGAAGGTATGAATTAATCATCTTTATGATTTATGTTTTTCAGTAGTTTTTTTCATTATTACATTCTTTCCATCTTATGTTAAATTATATAGTATGCTACACACTCTCAACTGTCATTGGGAAGTTGTATCCCCATTTCATTTTACCTTGGAATAAGAAGGAATGATCTTTTTTGATTTTAAGGTATTCTTAATTATATTTTTGCACTGGCTTATATAGATGTGTGTACATTTTCTCCATAATTCCCAGATATGGTATTTCAAAAAACTATTCTGTTATTAACTGGAGCTTCAACCTTTTAAACATAGATCCATGTTTTAAGCCATCTACTTCTTTCATACGAAGTTCAGCATGAGCAAAAGGCCAGGGCAAAAGAAAGATTATAGTGGCTCCAAACTAAACACTGTCTCCAAGGTAACTGGTCCTTGCAGTGGGACCAGAAATCTGAATTTAGATACTTTGGCTTCTACCACTGAAAACTGCAGGAATGTCTCCAATCCATGTCAGTCATCCAAAAAAACTTCACACCTGATTAGGAACCAGTTAGAAGACAGTAACAGAAAAAATCAGAGAACTGGGAAAACCAAAGACTGTTTTATACAACTTCTACAATAGAGGTTAAGCAAATAAATCCGAGCTCTAAACGATGCACCTCCACTCACTTGTACTGGTAGAGCACACATTCAGGTGTGAATCATAGGAGTGTGTCTCGACAAACTGCAATCTTTAAATGCAGTTTGCACACATGCTCCAGAATATCAATTTTTTCAGAGTCTTACAAACACGACAAATCTTGTATTTTTTAAAGCATCCACCAGCTGTTTTCAGAGAATCAGAGAATCTTAGGAGTTGGAAGGGACCTTGAAAGATCATCTAGTCGCCCTGCCAGAGCAGGATCACCTAGAGCACATCACACAGGAACGTGTCCAGGAAGGTTTTGAATGTCTCCAGTGAAGGAGACTCCGCAACCTCTCTGGGCAGCCTGTTCCAGGGCTCTGTCACTCTCACAGTAAAGAAGTTTTTTCTGATGTTTATGTGGAACCTCCTACATTCCAGTTTGCACCTACTGCCCCTTGTCCTATCACTGGACATCACTGTAAAAAGTCTGGCTCTGTCCTCCTGACACTTGCCCTTAACATATTTGTAAACACTGATGAGGTCGTCCCTCAGTCTCCTCCAACCTAAAGAGACTCAGGCTCCCTCAGCCTTTCCTCATAAGGGAGATGTTCCACCCCCTTCATCATCTTTGTGGCTCTGCGCTGGACTCTTTCAAGCAGTTCCCTGTCCTTCTGGAACTGAGGGGCCCAGAACTGGACACAATACTCCAGATGCAGCCTCACCAAGGCAGAATAAAGGGGGAGGAAAACCTCTCTTGACCCACTAACCACACCCTTTCTAATACACCCCAGGATGCCATTGGCCCTCTTGGCTACAAGGGCACACTGCTGGCTCATGGTCATCCTCCCGTCCAGCAGGACCCCCAGGTCTCTTTCTCCTACACTGCTCTCCAGCAGGTCAGCCCCCAACCTGTATTGGTACATGGGGTTGTTCTTCCCCAGATGCAAGACTCTACACTTGCCCTTGTTGAATTTCATCAAGTTTCTCCTTGCCCAACTCTCCAGCCTGTCCAGGTCTCACTGAATGGCAGCACAGCCTTCTGGTGTGTCAGCCACTCCTCCCAGTTTAGTGTCACCAGCAAACTTTCTGAGGGCACACTCTGTTCCCTCATCCAGGTCATTGATGAAAAAATTGAATAGTACTGGTCCCAGTACCAACTCCTGTGGGACTCCACTAGTCACTGACCTCCAACCAGATTCTGTCCCATTGACCACACTCTCCGACTTCCTCCTTTCAACCAGTTCATGATTCACCTCACTACCTGGCCATCAAGACCACACTTCCTCAGTTTATTTACTGTGGGAGACAGTGTCAAAT